TTTCACATACATGTGGCTGCTGCTCTGTCTCCGGGGGCAACAACCGCATTCGTGCTCCTGGCTACACAGAGCAACGCTTTTCTGTCTGGGTCAAGTAGCATTTAACTGAGTCTAACTATCACTAGCACTGCCTACTGAATGGTGAGATTAAAACCAAATTAAATAATAGCAGGACAATTATAAAGACCAGAAAAATCAGATGAGCTTTCATGAGAGATATTTAGGAAGCTGGCACATGTTAGGGTTCAGATTTGAGTTCAAATTTCATTTATTACTGAATTCAAACCGATGATTTACTGTTAGGGTTAGTCGCTGCATTCGGACGGAGGAGGCGTGGCGTCTCTTACTGTAGCTCACTGGGTGTATAGTTTTTGATAACCCCACCCACCTCTCTCGCCCATCAGACCACACCCTCATATGTATGTTAGTGTAGATGCATGTCCGCATAGTCATCCATGAGTCATCCATGAGTCATCCATGAGTCATCCATGAGTCATCCATGAGTCATCCATGAGTCATCCATGAGTCATCCTGTCACCAGCCTCCATCCACCTCACTGGCTTCTGCAAAGAGGGCTTTGGCGGCACAGACCATACTTGCAGCGTGCTTTGATTTAAAACCACGGTCTCTCTCGTAAAGACAGACCCGCATTATTAAATGTTCACCTTGATGCGGACCTGGTGGCTCCACCTTGAGGCTGTCGTCACCACGTTTCATATAGACCACAGTGACGGGTTAGCAGGCCTGCGTCAGGTCATGCCCCTGCCTGAACATGGGCTCACGGGCCCGCAGATTCTGGCTGTGGTGAGTTTGGGTCATGTGACTGAAACCCCTCCCCCTTTGATCTTTTCTGTCTCTGGCCCTGCCTACCAGGCTGCTGCAGCACCGAAAGTGGTCAAAGTTGAGGAGACCGAGCCTTGCGTATGCGTGAGTCTCTCAGCCAATGAAACGTCACCTCCGCCCTCTCTCTCCTCATTCCACTCAGCCACTGCCTGAACACGTGAGCGCCCCCTAGAGCCCTACAGCCATTGCCTGAATGATCGTTTAAGGGGGCTGGGTCTCTGTCAGTTTCAGATGAACCACACTGGCTTTTCTGATTGGTCCTCGTTGGTCTGCCCCATCCCCCACCATTAGATCAGGGCCAGAGGGTTTTACCGCAGCTTGTGACAGTGATAAAATGCTGTGTGTCCAATTCCGAGGAGCAGCGCAGGTGGAGTTCATCCAGCTGAAGTGACCTGAAGGGAATGTTCTGCAACATTCAGTGCAGGAAGTGCTTAAATGTGCCCATCTAGTTTGGGTTTTCTAGAGACTCACCTGTTCAGGTTTGCAGATCTATACCCCTGCCACACTCATCCTTCTGCCTTTCCCTCATTTTCCATCATATTTCGGAACACTTTCTGAAGTCCATCACCTGCTTCCTTTTTCTCCACTTCCTATGCCCTCCATTCAATACATTTGCATCAATGCTTTCATTGGATTTGATACTTGCCAAGTCAGAGCAGAGTGACTCCATACTCTCCTGTATGGCTTGGGCTTTGCCTCGTGGTCTGGATTCGGAGTCTCTGACATCGCAAGCCTTTGTCTTGGCCCCGCCCCTTGTGGAGTCTGCTGCTGGGTGCAAAGCTGTATCATCTGTTTGGAGGGGCCCTGGGCGGACTTTGTAGCAGTCGCATGGCAGTTTTTTAAACCGGGTCTCTCTCTCTGCCTCCCGTGTCTCTCCAGATGCACACTTACACACCTGCTCTCTGCTTCTCCCCAGAGCTCAGCCTGCCTGGGATGGACGCCGGGGCTAAGATGGCCGACTTCCCAGACGACACGGACTGGCGGGGGCTGGAGGACTTGTACAGCGTGGATGAGAGCCGGTACGAGTGGCGCTCCCATTTTAGCCCCGCCGAGGACGACTGGACGAACTTCTGGAAAGATGTAGACAGTATGTTTGTGCTGCTGAGTAATTTTAAGAAACTCAACCAAACGGACGAGCTCGAACCCACAGCCGAGTCTGGCTCGGGGGCCCTCGACCTGGAGGAGGGCAGTGGGGCGGGGGGCCCAGTCCAGCCTGCCACCACCGCCACTCCCAAACTCTCCACTCTCCCACCACTGGGTAGTGCGCCCCCCCAGGTTGAGATGAAGCCCCATCCCCTGAATGACATCCCTGAGAAGCTCCCCCCTTGGGGGAGGAGCCCCTCCACCGGGGAGACCTGGGCCCAGCAGCTGAAGGATGGCCTGGATGGAGACGGACTCACCTTCAGCGGAAACAGCCTGACGGAGTTGGAAACGCACCATGTCCACCTGCTGCGTTTGGCCCCCCAGGTGGATCAGGGCCCCAGGGAGGACGAGGAGGACATCTTCCTGGCCCAGGGCTACCTCCCCCTGTCCCCACAAACCGAGAGGCCTGCAGCATAGACAGCGGGTGGCGGCGGCAGCGGCGCCCCCCGGAGGCAGGTGGTGGAGCTGCCGGGACAGCGCCCGAGCCAGTCTGACTCCACACACTGACACGCACTCCCTGATGAGCGGGCTGCCCGCTGGCCACACTTTCTGGCCAGTGTATGGCAGGTCCTGCTGTCTCGCAGAGCAATTTATAATTATATTGTGAATGACAAGTTGGCTTATTTTTCTACAGGTCCTTCCAGTTAGTACAAAGCAGTGTTATGCTGATCCGGTCTCTATGTAATATGTATGTATACATATAATTGCCTAATGCAGCGATGGTTGAATACTGGATTTAAATTGAAATAGTTTAGTACCACAAGGAAGCTTATACCATTAAAGGATGTTTTAATATAAATATGTCATGTAAAACGCAGGCTCTGTGATGGCACTGGGCGCCATTGTTTTCTGCTGATTGGTACTTTGTGACATTTGGCCGCTGGTCCATTAGACCATCACCCTTGTTGGGAAAAGAATTCCTGATGGGAGGGGGGTAATTAAACCCATATTAATGAGAGACCATGGTAATCAGGAGGGTCAGAGTAAAACCCCATACCAGTTATCGGGAGGTCTGCACACCTTTAACATGACATCTGCTGTCCCATGTGTCCCCAATGGGGGGGCGCTCATGGCTGCTACCCGAAGAGGGCCGGCAAATCTCACAATGGTGTAGACTGAACTGGAAGGTGGATTCCCCAAAAACCCAAAGCCATGACCTGTTTACTCCAAATCTGGTCTGGCTTCAGAAATGGTCACGCCAATCGTTGTAAATATTTAAACTGAGCTATTTTTTTTTTTAGAAACTTTGCAGCAAATCGGGCTTCAGGAAAGCCAATGAAATGGGTTAGAAATAAATATTTTACTGATTGATCTGTAAGAGATGTGAGTTTTATTTGACTGTGTAGATTTATACAGTGGCCCCACACACCCACCCATACACACACACACCTGGAATAAGACAGTCTGTCCTTTTCACAGTTTGATTTTCCAGGTAAGTCTTTGCAGAACAGCTTAAACATCATACGTGAAACAGGCATCCATACATTTTTACCATTTTTATTGACAAAGTATTCAAGGTATTTGCAAACCAAAATGTTCACAAATACTGTATTGATTTAGCTTCCTGAACATTTTTTTTTCCTTTTAAAATACGGGGTTCCTGAAATAAATAAGACGATATTGATATAAATGAAGAAAAAAGTTGCCCCCCCCCCCCCAAGCTGTAACCCCCACACACCAGTGGCATGACAAGATGCTTCTGTTACAAACACCTTTTGTAACAGCGTGAGGAGGTATGAGGTTGCAAAATGCCCAGATTTGTC